CAAGAGATTAGTCACACTGATCGTTGGGTTCTTCTTTACCTCTCTCACTAAGGCTCTTCTCCCAGGATTGCTCAGTTTGGCTGGACGACCAGGTGTAGGAAGAGTTCTGGTCGTCCAAACAAGAACAAAACTGGGCCAGCCTTTCTGGTTTTAGCACTGGATTGTTTAGGCTCAAATTATAGGCTTGGCTCAGATTATAGCAAATAACCAGATCAGTTACCATAACTTTGCAGACAACACACAGCTTTACATCCAAATGTCACCAAGTGACTATGAACCAATCAGAATGTTGGATAGATGCTTAGAACAGATCAATATATGGATGCACCATCATTTTCTACAACTGCAAAAAACAAAACTGACTGACTCCTAAGAAGGAGAGATCCAGAGTAAGCCCACAGCTTCAGCTACAGACCAGGTCACGGATTTGTGGACCGCGGTCCGGATCTGGACCCACCTGCTAGCTAATCCGGACCCAACCTGATTTAAAAAATTTATAAATTAGCGCATGTTTTCCGACGGCAGTGTCTATCCCCCATATTCCACATACTCCGTCAGCGATCTGCTCACGTACATCGTGTGGAGAACTTGTCTGTCATGTTAATCAATGAGAGCTGTTCCACATCCACCGCTACTCCTCCACACCTCACCATCCACGTACATCTTCTCTGTCTATCACCGTCAAAATATGGAGCCGAGCTTTTTTTTTTTTTTTTTTCTCTGGTCTGGCCAGGACAGGATCCACAATTGCAATCGGACCAAACAAGAAAAAGAACGGCGAGAAATTAAAATATAGTAAAGATGGATTGGTAACTACAAACTAGAGCATAATTCTTATATATTCCCCAAAACTAAGGCCGTTTAATTAAAAAACTGGATGCAAACTATTGGTACCTCCACATACTAAGAAGGAGATTTCTCATCTTGATCAAAATATTTATTTTATATGCAGAGGCTTAAAGATTAATCACATCCAGTCAAAAGATATTTCCTATCTTAGGCCTGGATGAAGAGATGCTGAGTTTGGAAGCAGAGAACAAACATATTTAATAAAAAACAGTTTTGGATGAAGGCTTTACTGGATGTGGGATTTCAGGGTAACATCACTCTTCTCTCTCTCACTGCTCTCATTAAGCCATTAAAAAGAAAACAAAAGAAAGGTCAGGTCTTTTATAAAATATGTGAATCAGGAAATTGTCTATATGCCAAACTGAATCATTGTTGTTCACACTTTAGATTTTGGAAAAAAAAAATCTATTTTTTAAAATATCTTCTTTATTAATAAATTCCATGTATATCATGGAGGCATAAAAATCTCATTTTATTTCAATGTTATTTTCTGTTTAAAGTAACAGATCATAATTAGAAATATCTCCAGACCTTTACTGGTTATTGATTTTCTTTATTCGGACCCTGCTGGTTTTTAATGGGTTACCCCTGAACTACATCTAGAAACCACTGATCATGGCTGAAATCTTGGTGTCATGATGGACTCGGACCTGAACCTTCAGAGCCTCATAAAGGCAGTTACTAAGTCAGCCTTTTATAACCTGAAGAACATTTCCAGGATTAAAGGACTAATGTTTAAGCTGGATTCATGCATTTATCTTCAGTAGAATTGATCACTGCAACAGTGTCTTCATAGGTTTGCAAAAAAGTCCATCAGACAGCTGCGGCTAATCCAAAAAATAGATCCTCTGGTTGGCTGCATATCATGACTAATTATGGAAGGGTCATTTTAGCTCTGTTTGCACTGAAACATTATATATATATCTCTCAGTGTCTGAATAACATCACCTTCTTTATAGTCATATCAATGCCACAGCAGTCAGATTTACAATTATGAACAATACTGATAATTTTCTTACTTCCACTGTTGTGAGAAACATTAAATCCAAATTTCTATTAAACAATCTCTCCAGAAATATTTGCTGAAACTATAAAATGCATCTATTATGTCCTCAAAGTTATATTTGTTGTGAAATACAGAGGAAACGTAGTTTTTTGAGTAGGGACGCACCATTGCTAGTGATTCTTTTTAACCTTTTTAGGTGACTGGTTAGAAGAAGCAGACAGTATGTGACAGAACTGCAGGATTTGAGTTTCTACCTGTGGGTGGCAGACTTGCGTGGAGCCATACTGAAGTCTTCAGGGAACCACCGCCTGTAATTAACCACAGAACAAAGCAGAATCATTTCAATGATTTTTTTCTTACAACATAAATTATATAGAATAAAACTAAATCAAGATAGTTAACTAGACTTTTGATTTCCCGATCTTTATTTTACAGGCATATTTTGCAGGCAGCTGGTATTCTATCGGTAATGGAGCGGCCAGCGCAGTCACCAGATCTGAACCCCATTGAGCCGTTGTGGAACAACCTGAACGGAAGGGAAAGAAAAAAGGCCCAACCAAACAAACCAAACCGGGGGAGCTGCTTCTGGAAGCGTGGGGGGCAATTTCTCCAGATTACCTTAACAAATTAACAGCTAGAATGCCAAAGGCCTGCAATGCTGGAATTGCTGCAAATGGAGGATTCTTTGACGAAAGCAAAGTTTGATGTATAAGAAATCTTATTTAAAATACAAATCATTATTTCTAACCTTGTAAATATCTTGGCTATTTTCTATTCATTTCACAACATATGGTGGTGAATAAGTCTGACTTTTCAGGAAAACACAAAATTGTTTGGGTGACCCCAAACTTATACTGGCCCATTGCCAACAAAATCAGTTTTCCTTGGATAGAAGATAATCCTTTCAACTTGATTAAAAAAAGAAATAATTGAATTGAGTAATACGTTTACCAAATGAAAGAGTACATTGTAATATGTATTTAAAACTAAAAACAGTGAGTTTTGAATAATATTTACAAATATTTTGTAATTGCTCAAAATGTGTCCCACATATTTTTTCAACACCGTCAAATATTTTCATAAAAAGCAATAAAATCATGCAACTAAAAGGTCCTCAGTATATACATCTACTTACTGATGACCCCATTTTCAAATGTTCAGCTCTACTGCATGCTTCAAGTTCAATCAAGCTCCTCTAAGTTTTCTATTTTCTCTTTAATTTGTTCATATCTTTCAACACTGCTAATGTCACAACCAAAAGATGTCAACACTCTTTTGTATAAATAATATTAGATAAGATTATAACATAAATGTTTACTTTTTAAGAAGAGGTCTAAAGTAGCAACAGAGGGGAAACAAGATGGCTAATGTGAAAAACTCATGCATATCATTTGAAGGAGTAGTTTTTTCTCACCACCGTCAAGTTTTCTGTCTGAAGGTGGTGATATTCAGTGCGACTGTGATGAAAAAAACCTACAAATGGTCCTCAACGGAGGCTAGAATATAAATGTTGATCTGTAATGTTGCATTCACATCTTTTATATTTTTATTTATGTTTATGTATGTAGGGGATGAGGTGTGCCTTCCCTCTCTCTCAGTTCACTATTATGCCATGTTCATTTGGCTGGACATAGTGCGCCTACTACCTACCTACATAGCACATAGTATACAATATCCTTTGTAAGCTGTGCATCTCCTATGACTAAAGCCTAATAAAAAAGGCATGGCAACCAAATCCAACATTTACTGTAATTACCCCTAATTTCATTGTCATTACACTCAACTTTGGTGAAGTTAGGGAAGATAAAAAAAAATCAATGACTCAATTCAATCAATGACTTGAATGAAAGGGAAAAGAGAAGTGAGATATATATATACACACACAACAAATACTAGAGTTAAGGCACCAATCTAGAACCATGTCATGGTACCCATTAGTTGACACAGGTCTAGTTCGCTGCTCTTAAAAACAGTTGCACTTTGCTGCCACCTGCTGCCTGCTGTGAAGAAGAGCTGTTCACCTGACAGATGTAGAAGGAGCTTGCTGCTATTACTACTGGTTTTGTTTTACTGTTCTATTAAAAAAAACAAATGGCTTAATTCAGGAGTCTTCAAAGTTTTCCAGGCCAAAGACCCCAAACTAATGGCGAGATGGAGCGGGGACCCCCTAATTTTATATATTGTATGAAATAGCGTTCTATCAAACTGGTCCTATAGTCGCTCTATTACATATGGAGTAATGTAACTAAAGTAATCCCTCCCTGGGATTATTAAAGTATTTTTGATCCCTGGTTGATGGGACAGGTGTTGTGAATGAAACGTTCCCAGCTTGAAAGAGCTCCTGTGTGTCGCTGAATGTGAGCATTGATGACTGAAAGACATCTTCTGCCTCCATTTATCTGCTTACTACAGTCTGTTGAATTCATGTTAATGTGGATTTAAAGACATTTCAATTAGCGGAAAAAATTCAGGGGGGGAATATAAAAAAAGTCTAATTAACCAAAACTTTCACAACCCCCATGCAGTACCTCCTTGACCCCTAGGGGGTCCACGAACCCCCTTGTTGAAGAACTCTTTAATTTGTTGTATCCAATCATGTTTCCAATACAGGAGTTAACCTCAGCCGTTCCTTGCCACAATGATAATCATATCTTTGTCTTGCAGGCGTAGTATGATTATATATATATATATTTTGTATTATACTGGTATTGGTACTCGGTATCGGCCGATACTCACAGCAAAATCATCGTAAATGTACGGAGAGAAAAAACGGTATCGGAACATCTCATCTACAGACATACATAGCTAAGGTTAAACAGTTGACCTCTAGCATGGAATAAAACGTCTTCGGCTCACATTTTTCCATAATTTGTATTTATAAGACAGATCTACTTTTATTATTAGTCTGCTTATTACAGCAGTCTGCTAGTTAAGACCACCTAACCCAAGACCTAGAGCAGAGTGTGCTGAGAAAATTAAAATTTTTATGGGCCAAGACCAAGTCATGGGTGAGACTGAGTGAAGAATAAGACCAGTATCATCACAGTAGTTATGATAAGTTATGGGTATGCTTTGGATAAGTTATGAGCACACTGAAGTACGTTGAAACACGGTGGCACACGTCGACATACAGCGAGCGTCTGCCATGCGTGCGCCATCAGTTCCAGGTCAGTTATCTGATGGTCGACATACGTTCAGTGTCAGTTACTAGTCAGTCTAATACATCTTAAAAAATATATCTCTTCAACCTCCGAGTAACTTCTGCTTAACTTATCTAGAACTTCTCTCCAAGCATATCAAGGTATCTGACGTGTTCCAGACGAGCGCTGAACGTGTTTCTAACTTCCAGCTATTGTATAATGACGTATTGGCAGCGTTTTGGTATAAAGGGGGTTCACAGGAGGAAACCGTCAGTTCTCCTCCAGACTTCATCCCCATCATAGGGTGAGAGAGAAGGTGAGGGTGATGGATCCTCCCTGCGTTCACGCCCACCACCAACAAAATTCCTAGCGGACATAATGCTGAATCGGCTGCAACTGCAAACGTAAAAAAAACATCACAAATTTGAGGCAACATCTAAATCAGCAACTCTAAAATCTATTTTAATCATAGTCTTAGGTTGACACTGCTCAAATGAAAGTAGCTTATGTGAATTCTATGGTTTTATTCTTCGTTTCTTTGAATCATATTTTGGTTATTCTGACAATTAAGTCGGACTAAAGCAGGAGAGTGTGTATCCCGTGTATGTCTATGCTCAGTTTTTGTTTTATATTCTGGGCAATACATATCAGATATCGACCAATATATTGGATTTTTTTTTAAAGCCCCCAATATCGATATCAGTAATGGCCTTTAAAATCCCACATCGGTCCCTAGAAAATCTGAAACATGATCAAGAGCCCTTTTCAAACTGATTGACATTCTTATTCCCATAAAACAAGATATCAAAGAGTCAGACCTTAAAGAAATTTGACTCTCTTTAATATTTAAGATTAATATAAAATCTTAAATTGTAAATTTTTTAAAATGTTTGTTTTTATTCCCCTTCATAATAAAAGCCAGCTTCAGATTACCTGAAAAACCAACATTTCTATGATTCACTTGGTTCCTTCAAGAATTATTTTGATTTGTGAGGCAGATTTTTTTTATGAAATGAAAAAATATGTCATTAAAAAAAATCATCAATTTAAATGTATTATTAACATACAAAGTGCCTTGAGAAAGTATTCAACCCCCCTTGAACTTTTTTACCTTTTACCAAATTTCAGGCTCAGACAGAAAATTGTACTTCTTTGTGAAGAATTTACATGATCATACATGAAGTTGAATGAAATTTATTGGATATTTAATTTAAATTAGTAAATTTCAGCCTCTGATAGAGAAAAACCAAAAGCGACTTGTATCTTAAATCGCAACAAAATGTTGGAGCTAAGAAGGATTAACTCAAGAGGATGAATCATTTTAAAGACCCGGTTCTTCGGTTTTTCATTAAAAACATTTTCAATACATTTCATTCCACTGCATTATTTTGTCACACTTGGTGGTTCTTTAAAGAACTAAATTTTATATTTTTTGTCTCAACCTGAAATGAGGCCAAAAAGTTCAAGAGGGCCGAATACTTTGGCAAGGCACTATATTTAGGATAAAGATAGTTTTATTAGGTTGATGCCTGCATCTCAGATCACAGTGAAAATGTTTCTTTTTTTTATTCCATAATTAAAATAATGTCCTTTTTTAATTGATTACATTTCAGGCTTAAACAATTAATCAATTATTGAAATAATCATCAGCTAATTTAGTAATCGATTAATCGTTAACTGGACTATAAAGACTCCAAAACATGCCTTTAGCTGACAGAGTGACACGCATACAGCAGTAATTAGACCAACATTGTAGAAAAATATAAACATTTTGCATTTAAGACAAAAAAAAAAAAAAATTCTAAAATCTAAAATTCCTCAAGTGGAAAAGTTTTAGTTTCACCTGGTTTTATTTCATAAAAATTCTTCTATAAGGAAACTTTGGCTAAATGATTATTAATCGATTAGTCTAAAACAATAAGCAATAGAATAATCGATTTGCAAACTAGTCATTATTTGCAGTCCTAATTACATTTGTGGCACTTGTGGCTTTCCGTACAAGCTGCAGTTAATTTGTTACCATATGCAGGCTTAGCTGCTTGCTTGGTATATTTAGATTTTAGCTAAAAGTTCACTTGGTTCATCTGCCTCACTTTCAGTTGAACCACTGTAGGTACCAGATCTGCTCGGGTCCTGCTTCATGCCAGTGACGTTACGCTATATGATTGGCTGTAAGTGTGGCGAGTCAGGAGCATCTGTAGAGTAAGCGTGTCTAATGACCGATCAAGTTTTACCTGATCGATATAAAGGGAGACTGCTGGGTAGGGCTGTGGCTAGCTGTGCTCAGTAGCTAACAGGTTAGCCTATTTTAGCTCGCTCAGTTAGCCATGTTAAGCTACACTACTTTTAACTTTGTGTCAACGACAACCGTCGTTTTCTACGAGTAGAATAACTGTTATCTTTGTCTAAAAGAGATTGGATCCTTAAGAAACGGGTGCAATACAGTTTTTCCGGGTGCCGTTGTCATATGATGATGTCATAAGAAAGGGCGGGGCCCCGAGCAGATCTGACCACATGGGTAGATCTCTCCATCCATACAGGAAACGCAGTGAGGAAGACTTTACCTGCAGAGCTCTTTGATGGTGCTGACATCAATGATCCTGTAATGAAGATGGTACATGAACTGTGGCATGTACTTGTCCAAGAACCTCTTGTCTGCGTGCACAGAGTTGCCTTAAGAAGAAATAATAAAACATGAGCATTATCAGGGTTCTAAACAGTATTTTCATGCTATAATAAACATAGATCCTTTTTTTTTTTTTTGTCTGTTTACTGAGCCCAGTCCCTTTTCTTTCACTTCTCAACATTAGAGTTGAAGTTTGATACCAACTTTCAGTTAAAAAGCTGCAAAGGTAAGAGCTGGGAATGACTTCACTCACTGGAAAAATGATCTGGAAATAAGTAAAAATGTCTTGAGTAGGTAAATGAGATAATTTGCCAATGGAATGAGCATTTTTACTCTTAAAATAAGATAATTAGATAATATGCACTTGAAATAAGACAATGCAATTGTGTTTTCTTATTTTTAGTGTAAATTGTCTTGTTCCATTGTCAAAATGTCTCTTTTAGCTCCTCGATCTAACAAATGCGCTTATTTTAAGAAAAAATTACTTATCTGGATTTAGATTTTTTTTGTCAGACTGCTTAGCCAGATAGTCTAGAAACACGTTAGCACCAGACATGCCAAATAACAAAGCAAAAATACTTCCTTACCTTATTGAGTAGAAATGTTGGCTATCTATTCTTTACTTGAGTAATTATTTGTAGACAAAGTTTCACTTCTTTTCCTTACAATTTTTAGCAGTTATCTCTAATTTCTAATTCTTACAAAAATAGATTTGTTAGTTTTCTTTCATTTAAACGAATTTTCATAATGGCCTGTTGGAAAAACATCAAAATAATTTCTTTCATCCAGACAATTAATTTTTGGTTGGACTGTTTTTCACCACATACTAAAATAAATACTTTTTCAAAATGATGCAAAGTGGTCAATAAAAAAACAAACTTTGTATTTTATCAGACTAAAACAAAGTGCAACTATTTCATATGATGTAAAATATGAAAGATGTTTGCAACATAAGCCTTCGCTTTTCTGCTTTCTCGTTTTAACGTCTTTATTATGTACGACATCTTACAGTAGAGAAAGAAATAAAACCCATTTTAGGACAAGGTTTTAACTGGAGCATGATGTTTTCAAGACACCCAGCTGCTATTAAAATGGAAACTGTAGCACATTCAACCAAACTTACCAGCAAGGGGACATTGCCCAGGTGGCGTGTGCTGCCTGACAAAGGACAGAAACTCGTATTCGGCCTGTTCCAGGGTAATGTTGCTGTTTTTGACAGCCTGAATCAGTCCTGACTGTTACAAACAAGACAACAAAACAGAGAAAACAACAGCATTCACTTCCACTGATGCTGGAATGCGTGCAGACTTAATTTGGAAAGGTATAATCTGCGAGTGTTGGTGTCTACCTTCCCATGATGCTCTTTACACCACTCCGACATCCCGTCCAGCAGCTCGTCTGGCTGCTTGATGATTACAGTTGGTCCCTACCAAGCAGCAGCAACCCGGTTTACTTCACATACCGAACCAAAACTGTTCCACACTGCAGGAGACTCTCTGGATTACCTCTGCTATGATGTTCAGATCAGAGTCGGTGATGATGCACGCCATTTCAATGATTTGGTCTTTTTCCACATCTAAACCCGTCATCTTTAAAGAAAAAAAAAAAAACAGAATGTCACTTTTTGTGCCACAGTTTAGTGTCATGCAGCTTCCCGAGAAGACTACCTAATACCCAACGCGATTTCAGCAGGAAAAAAATCATCTGCTGCTTCATTTCGGGGTTTTTTTGGCAGTGTCCTGTCTGGCGATGTTTCAATATGAATAATTGTCTTGATGCCAAAAAGAGCCCAACAGATTTTACTTTCACCAGTGGAGCAGTACGGCTATCGCCTTAGTGCTCCCCTTGATTTATGCATAGAAATTGCATTAACATAGTTATGCAGGGAGTTTTACAGATTATATGGACACTGCAATGTAGTTTGAACAGGAAAGGAAAAACTGAAAAAAAAGGATAAAAGATGAAAGAAAGAGGAGATAAAAGGGAGATAATGATAAAAAATGTTCTGTCTGCTTAATCACCTGCAAAGAGATGTAAAAAGAACAAAACAACCAGCAGACATGGTACGAGACATACAATAACAAGTAGATACTATCACTGAAGTATAAGTAGTATTATTTAGTCTGACATGTATACTGTGGTAACTGAAGATAAGAATATGCAGTGTTTCCCACAGGATTTTAGGAGACTGTGGAGGGAGAGTCTCTGACCCTCGGGGGTTTTGTACATTTTTAAGCGTGATGTATCCCACTTAAAGGGGAACGCTTTTTTTTTTTTTTTTTTTTTTACATGGGCCCTTGATTTTACGTTATTACATCATGTTTTACTCACCCATATGAGTTTTGTGTCATTTGGATCCGTTCTACAGATATTCTGGTATATCTAACGGAATACGAACTGCTGCTAGTTTTCCATACATGCCTGGAAGATGTCTAGTGCTGCTACCACAGATGATCTCGCTCTCCAGATGGAATTAAATGATTCAGATTAGCTAGCCGAATGAATAGAACGGGTAGAGCGTAGCCGCCTGTGGCCCGGGCTGCCTGTCACAACTCCAGTCCGGCAGCAGTTCAACTGACAGGATGAATGAATGGTAGAATTACTTCATCCACGCGCCGCTTCATTTTTAAAACACATAAATATAAAAAATATAACGGTGGATGTGTGGGGGACAGTGATTGGCCTACATGTTCTGAATGCTGGCGTACCATAAAGAATAAATGATGAACAGTTTAGTTTGTGCCTTCAAGTCGTTGCCCATAGGAAGACGTTACTTGGATATAACCTAACAGAATATCTTCAGAACGGCTCCAAATGACACAAAACTCATATGGGTGAGTAGAACATGATGGAATAACGTAAAATCAAGGTGACAATTAAAAAAAAAAAAAGTGTTCCCCTTTAAGTGCCTTTTTGAGGCCACTTTTTTTTTCTTCCCCCCCCCGCCCTTGTGGTCCCCTAAGGAGCCTACAAATCATTGTCTTAGAGAGGAAACTCTACTGTTGCTGTGTGAATCAAATGCCGTTTTTTAAGATAAAACATATCAAATTTAGTTATTTATTTTAGAACAAATAACATTTTACATTTACATCCCGCTCGCTCCTTGAGAGTCTGACTGCACTGCTGAGAGGGACTCCTGTGGAAGCAAGAGAACGGGGTTGGGCCAGTGACACCAGAAAAGTCGCTAGTCGCTTTTTTGAAAAAGAGTCGCTGGAGGGGTCTGAAAAGTGGCTAAATATAGCAACAAAGTCGCTGAGTTGGCAACACTGCACGGGCGAACCGGCCAGCATTTTTATAAAGGAGGACGGGACGCGCGCTTCGAAAAAAAAAAAAAAACTGGCGCTTATAGTGGATATGCAATCCGACCCCCACCAAGGGAGGAGGAGAGAAAGCCCAGAGGAAGTTTCCCAGCCACCGCAATGCCGGAGCCCCCAGGTGTTGGGATCGGAGGTTTGCCCACCAGAGGGCGCCAAGGATCCCTTCCTGAGGGCTTGTGCTCACCTGCAACACTTGTTTTCCATCTACTCATCAGCCTTGGGCCTACTTAAGGAGGAAGAGACTAACACTCCAACGCCAGAGTGTTTGCCAGTAACGGTTAGCAAGCCTGAGCCAACCAGCCTGTCTGAACCTCTGACTCCCTGATAACCTGAACCTGATCTGTTCTCTCTTCTCTGCTTCCTAGATTGAACCTGCCTGAAACCTGAAACCCTGAAGAGTTTCTCTGCCAGTTATCTGCCTGTCCGTTCTCTGAAGAACCCTGGAGAACTATTCCTAAGAACTAAGTTCTGCCTGCCCGCTCTCAGAAGATTCTGGAAGGAAACTCAGATCTGTTATCTGCCAACACTCAAATTAAGCTCTGCCTCTGCCTAGCCCT